ACAGGACCCCAGGGACAAGGAGACTAGATCACATTTGGGGAGCCTTTCTTCTAGCTTCAAAGGGAACTGCAGGAGATGGGTCCCCAGTCACTGGAATACCTTCTTAGGGACCTGTAGACTGAGCCAGTCTGAGGGTCAATACATTTCTTTATTGATGGGAGAGCCTGGGATACGAATCTCTTGAGGATACATGTTACCTGGTGGAGATCCTCCCAGAGCGCGCTCAGGCCCACTCCCGTCCCTAAACTGCCAGTCTACCTCACTTCCTCCCTGAGTGTTTCGATGCATGCGTTCTCAGCAAGAGTTCTTTGTTCAGCTCATTCTCAACAGTGGTGGAGACGAGCAGTGAGGGCGGTGGGGTCTGCCTCTGAGGGTCCCACAAACAACCTCACTGCTGCTGAGGGAAAGGTGGCTCTATTGATGTTGACCATGGCATCACTTGACAGTGAGGCCTCGCTCTTGACTCCCTGCTGTGGCCATTTACTTCCTCTGCCTTGGGGTTTTCCAATGTACCCACTCATACTTCTACACCATTCCTGGTGTTTAGGACCCCTGGCTATTGGAGAGACATCCAAGGTGGTGTTCCAAGCTTGGTCTTCTAGAAAAGGGTTTTGACCCAAAGTGTTGCTCTCTCTACGGATCCTGGTTTCACTTTGCTTTTTTTTTTGTGTGTGTGTGTGTGTGTGGTACTGGGACTTGAACTCAGGGAGTTCATCTTGAGCCACTCTGCCAGCCCTTTTTGTTTTTTTTTTTTTTTTTTTTGATGATTATACTCTTTATTCCATATTTTTGTTGGTGTTGTTAGAATGGTTTCTTTTTTAGTGATAAAATTTACCATCTTAATAATTTCTTTTTTTTTTTTGACTCTCTAATCAGTGATTTATTATACTTTTGAATATAGGTTGTTTATTTATTTTTTTTTTTTTATTTTTTATTTTTTTTATTTTATTATTCATATGTGCATACAAGGCTTGGTTCATTTCTCCCCCCTGCCCCACCCCTCCCTTACCACCCACTCCCCCCTCCCCCCCCTCAATACCCAGCAGAAACTATTTTCCCTTATCTCTAATTTTGTTGAGAGAGTATAAGCAATAATAGGAAGGAACAAGGGTTTTTGCTGGTTGAGATAAGGATAGCTATACAGGGCATTGACTCACATTGATTTCCTGTGCGTGTGTTACCTTCTAGGTTAATTCTTTTTGATCTAACCTTTTCTCTAGTCCTGTTCCCCTTTCCTATTGGCCTCAGTTGCTTTTAAGGTATCTGCTTTAGTTTCTCTGCATTAAGGGCAACAAATGCTAGCTAGTTTTTTAGGTGTCTTACCTATCCTCACCCTCCCTTGTGTGCTCTCGCGTTTATCATGTGCTCATAGTCCAATCCCCTTGTTGTGTTTGCCCTTGATCTAATGTCCACATATGAGGGAGAACATACGATTTTTGGTCTTTTGGGCCAGGCTAACCTCACTCAGAATGATGTTCTCCAATTCCATCCATTTACCAGCGAATGATAACATTTCGTTCTTCTTCATGGCTGCATAAATTCCATTGTGTATAGATACCACATTTTCTTAATCCATTCGTCAGTGCTGGGGCATCTTGGCTGTTTCCATAACTTGGCTATTGTGAATAGTGCGCAATAAACATGGGTGTGCAGGTGCCTCTGGAGTAACAGTCTTTTGGGTATATCCCCAAGAGTGGTATTGCTGGATCAAATGGTAGATCATGTCCAGCTTTTTAAGTAGCCTCCAAATTTTTTTCCAGAGTGGTTGTACTAGTTTACATTCCCACCAACAGTGTAAGAGGGTTCCTTTTTCCCGCATCCTCGCCAACACCTGTTGTTGGTGGTTTGCTGATGATGGCTATTCTAACAGGGGTGAGGTGGAATCTTAGTGTGGTTTTAATTTGCATTTCCTTTATTGCTAGAGATGGTGAGCATTTTTTCATGTGTTTTTCTGGCCATTTGAATTTCTTCTTTTGAGAAAGTTCTGTTTAGTTCACTTGCCCATTTCTTTATTGGTTCATTAGTTTTGGGAGAATTTAGTTTTTTAAGTTCCCTGTATATTCTGGTTATCAGTCCTTTGTCTGATGTATATTGGCAAATATTTTCTCCCACTCTGTGGGTGTTCTCTTCAGTTTAGAGACCATTTCTTTTGATGAACAGAAGCTTTTTAGTTTTATGAGGTCCCATTTATCTATGCTATCTCTTAGTTGCTGTGCTGCTGGGGTTTCCATTGAGAAAGTTCTTACCTATACCTACTAACTCCAGAGTATTTCCTACTCTTTCTTGTATCAACTTAGAGTTTGGGGTCTGATATTAAGATCCTTGATCCATTTTGAGTTAATCTTGGTATAGGGTGATATACATGGATCTAGTTTCAGTTTTTTGCAGACTGCTAACCAGTTTTCCCAGCAGTTTTTGTTGAAGAGGCTGCTATTTCTCCATCGTATATTTTTAGCTCCTTTGTCAAAGATAAGTTGTTCATAGTTGTGTGGCTTCATATCTGGATCCTCTATTCTGTTCCACTGGTCTTCACGTCTGTTTTTGTGCCAGTACCATGCTGTTTTTATTGTTATTGCTTTGTAATATAGTTTGAAGTCAGGTATTGTGATACCTCCTGCATTGTTCTTTTGACTGAGTATTGCCTTGGCTATTCGTGGCCTCTTGTGTTTCCATATAAATTTCACAGTAGATTTTTCAATCTCTTTAATGAATGTCATTGGAATTTTGATGGGAATTGCATTAAACATGTAGATTACTTTGGGGAGTATCGACATTTTTACTATGTTGATTCTACCAATCCATGAGCATGGGAGATCTCTCCACTTTCTATAGTCTTCCTCAATCTCTTTCTTCAGAAGTGTATAGTTTTCCTTGTAGAGGTCTTTCACATCTTTTGTTAGGTTTACACCTAGGTATTTGATTTTTTTTGAGGCTATTGTAAATGGAATTGTTTTCATACATTCTTTTTCCGTTTGCTCATTGTTAGTGTATAGAAATGCTAATGATTTTTCTATGTTGATTTTATATCCTGCTGCCTTGCTATAGCTATTGATGATGTCTAGAAGCTTCTGAGTAGAGTTTTTTGGGTCTTTAAGGTATAGGATCATGTCGTCTGCAAATAGGGATATTTTGACAGTTTCTTTACCTATTTGTATTCCTTTTATTCCTTCTTCTTGCCTAATTGCTCTGTGCCAGCCCTTTTTGTGATGGCTATTTTCAAGATAGAGCCTTATGAACTATTTGCCTAGGCTGGCTTTGAACCATGATCCTCCTGATCTCTGCCTCCTGAGTAGCTAGGATTATAGGCATGAGCCACTGGCACCTGGTTACACTTTGCATTTAAAAAAAAAGTCAGACAGCGAGAAGTCCTGATGACCTTAATCCTGCTGGGTTAAACTCAGAATTCCGTTTGACCATCTCTCCAAGTTGGGTTACAAGGCCAGCTGGGAAGGGCTTAACTCAGCAGTTCCCAAACTGTGGCCATATATCGGAACCTTAATGCCCAGGCCTCACACCAGCCCAAAATCTACACCAAAGTAGATTCTCTAGTTGGGTTGGTATTTTTTAATGCCTTAGGTGATGCAAATGTTCTATGAAGGCTGAGAATCAGTCTTTAACTCTTGTCAGCCCAGGTTTCAAATGCTTGTCACTGCTGAGAGATGCAAGGCTAGTCTTGCGGAATTCCTGTCAAGCTCCCCGTAGACTTGACTTCTCACATCACTCACTGATGAGAAGGGGAGGAGAGACCTGTGCCTGGATCTTCAGAAGGGAGGTCCCTTGGAAGAGTGGCATCCAGTCAGAAAACAGGTACTCAGCTTGCATCACTGCCAGACTGAACCCTGAAACCTCCCTCACATCCAGTTGTTCTGGAGACCTGCCCCCAAAAATCCCCCCACAATACACAGAAGGGGCCTGGGGCTGGGGAAAGCATCTCCCAAGGCCCACAAAGACTCCTGGCCTCCTGCACACCTCCTGACTAGTCCTTCCACCCCCACATAGGGCCCAACCAACCAAAGACCTTGGGGAGGGTCTCAGGATTGAGGCTCAGAGATGAACACCTGAGGAAACAAGGGTGATGAGGGACCTTGGACATAGATGACAAAGCAGAGGTCATAAGACCTGATGAGAGGAGGCTGAGCTACAGAGGCAGAGAGACAAAAGGAGACCCAGTAGAGCAGAGGCCTGTCAGCACCCACTGAGGCAGATCCAGTAAGGGGTGGTAGTCTGGAGAGGAAGTGAAGTGGAGTTGGGGTGGGGGGAAAGGGGGTCTTCTGAGGATGGCAGGATTTAGAGACTGTGCCCCCAAACCTGTGACCTCCAGAGGTAGAGGGAGTCCTTCTGCCACCCCAGTCCTCTGCTTGTCTGCCCATCCCCAGCGACTCTTCCCCTTCCCCATGTCATGCCTGGTTCTTCCTGGAAGTGGCCAGCAGAGAGAAGGGAGCCTTGTTGCCCAGCCCTAGGGAAGGGAGGCCTTAGGCACAGCTGCTGTCCCCAACCCTGCTCTGGCCATCCCCAGGGACTGGCTCTGGCTGGCTGCCTCCTTCCCTATCCCTGTGAGACACAGAGCTTGCCCTGCTGTTGCTCAACTGAGGTGCCCTGTCCTCCTGGCTCCCTGCCAGAATGGGCTGTGGAATCCCGGCTTTGCTGCAGACAGACTCCCTGGGGCCTTGCTCTGAATGGAGATGCCTGGGCAGGGGCTGCAGGAAAATAAAACCAAGTTCTACCCCAACTAGGGAGGGGCCTGAAACAAGGCTGACTGAGGCGTGGGACATTGACCTGGGCCCTGGGGTATTTTTTGATGCAGGATTGGCCAGGTATGATAGTAGGAGCAGGGGCCTAGGATGGGTCCCTGGGGATAGGGCTGCTAGTCTTTCTGGGTGGAAGGCAGGAAAGCTAGGGGCTGAGCCTTCATCCATGGGTCTACTCTCTACAGGGCAAGCCTGTGGTCAGTAAGTATTTTTACTGGAGGGAGATCCAGTCTCCTTGGCTCTGCCAGCTCCCTAGGTCATGAAGATTTCGATGTCAAGCTCCAGCGGGCTGGCTCTGACCTCATAGCGGCCCCGGATCAGACCTCGGGTATGGCTGGCATGCCATCGCCAGTGAGACTGGATGATGCAGGCTGCTTGGCGAGCCTGAAGGAACCGCCTGCATGCCTGCCACATCCGAACCTGTGCCTGCACCTTCACCACTGCCCACTCCTGGCAGGTGTAGAGTCGGAGTGCCAGGCACCGTCTTTGCTCCAGCATCTTGGCCTGCATTGACCTCCACCAGCTGAGCCACTCTGCCAGCCCTACAATGTACTTCAATATTACTGATTTCCATCATTTTCTTTCCTTCTTCCCTTCCTGTTTGTCCCCCCAAATAGTCTCACATTTACATTCACGTTATATATACATGCATTTTAGAGCTAGATTCTGCATATGAGAGAAAACATGCAATATGTGCCTTTCTCAACCTGGCTTATTTCACTTAACATGATGATCTCCAGTTCCATCCATTTTCCTGCAAATAACATAATTTTATTCTTTATGACTAAATAATACTCCACCTAGGCTGATTCCATAGATATTCACTATTGTAAATAGTGCTGCTATAAACATAGGTGTGCAGGTGTCTCTATTGTATACTGACTTACATTCCTTTGCATATATGCCCAGTAGTGGTGTCCCAGATCATAGGCTAGGTCTATTTTTATTTTATAAGGGAACTACATACTGATTTCCATAGTGGCCACACTAATTTATATCCTCACCAACAGTGTATAAGCGTTCCTTTTCCCCTTGCATTCTTACAAACAGTTTTTTGTATTCTTGATGATAACCATTCTGACTGGGGTGAGATAAAATCTCATTATCCTTTTGATTTGTATTTCCTTTCTAGCCAGGGATGTTGAACATTTCTTCATGTGTTTATTGGCCATGGTACTTCTTCTTTTAAGAAATATCTGTTCAATTCATTTGCCCATTTATTAATTGGATTATTTGTTCTTTTGGAGTTTAGTTTCTTAGCTCTTTATATATTATGGTTATTAATTCCTTGTTGGATGAATAGCTGGAAAAGATTCTCTCCTATTCTGTAGGCTGTCTCTTTAGTTTAGTGACTCTTTCCTTTGCTGTGCAGAACTTTTTTATTTTGATGCAATTCCGTTTGTTAATCCTTGCTCTTATTTCCTGAGCAATTGGAGTCTTATTCAGTAAATTGTTGCATATCCCTATATCTTCCAGTGTTTCCCTATTTCAAAGTTTCAGGTATTACATTAGGGTTTTTGATCCATTTTCAATCAATTTCAGTACAGGGAGAGAGACAGGGATCCAACTTCAGTGCCCTACAAGTGCAGATCCAGCTTTCCCAACACCATTTATTGAAGAAACTGTCTTTTCTTCAGTGTATAGTTTTGGTAATTTGTCAAAATTCAGATGGCTGTGAATGTGGGGATTACCTCTGGGTCTACTGTTCCATTCTATTGCGTTGTATGTGTCTGTTTTTGTGCCAGTTCCATGCTGTTTTTCTGTAGTATACTTTGAAGTCAGGTGTTATGATACCTCTAGCATTGCTCTTTTTTGTTTAGGATTGCTTTGGCTATTCCAGGTCTTTTGTGCTTCCATATAAACTTTAAGATCAATTATTTCTATTTCTGTGGAGAATCTTATTGGAATTTTGATGAGGAGTGCATTGATCTGTAGATTGCTTTTTATAATATAGCCCTTTTCACAATATGATTCTGCCAATCCATGAATATGGGGGTCACTCCATCTTTTAGTGTCTTCTTAGATTTCTCTCTTCAATGCTTTGTAGTTTTCATTGTAGAGATCTTCCACCTCTGTAGTTAAATTTAGTCCTAGGTATTTAATTTTGGGTGCAATACCAAAGTTTGAACTCATGGGCTCACCCTTGCTAGGTCGGCACTCTTCTGCTTGAGCCACTCCATCAGCCCTTTTTTAGTGTTGGGTATTTTCGAGATAGGATCTTGCAAGTTATTTGTCTGGGCTGGCATAGATCCTCAATCCTTCAGATCTATGCCTTCTGAGTAGTTAGGATTACAAGCATGAGCCACTGGCACCCAGCAATTTCTAAGTATTTCATTTTTTGAGACTATTGTGTGAATAGGATAGTTTTCCTGATTTCTTTCTCAGCCTGTTCATTGATGGTATATAGAAAAGCTACTGCTTTTTATGTGTTGATTTTTTTATCCTGATACTTTACTAAAAGTGCTTATAAGACATGAAAGTTTTTTGGTAATATCTTTAAGGTCTTTTAAGTATAGGATCATATCATCAACAAAAAGGGATAATTTAACTTCTTCCTTTCCTATTTCTATTCCTTTTATTCATTTTTCTTGCCTTAAGCTCTGGAATTCCAGCACTATATTGAATGAGAGTGGGGGAAGTAGATAACCTGTCTTATTCCTGACTCTAAAGAAAATGATTTCAGATTTTCCCGATTTAGTATAATGTCGGTTATCATTTTTTCATATATAGCCTTTATTATGTCAAGGTATGTTCCTTATATTCCTAATTTATTCAGAGTTTTTATCATAAAGGGATGTTGAATATAGTCAAGGGCTCTTTTTTTTTGCATCTGTTGGGATGATCATGTCATTTTTTTGTCCTTGATTCTAATGCTGTGCTGTATTTCATTTATTGATTTGCTTATGTTGAAAAACCCTTGCATTCCTGAAATAAATCCACCTTAATTATGGTGTATTATCTTTTTAATGTGTTGCTTAATTCAATTTGAAAGTATTTTATTGAGAATTTTTGCATCTATATTTATGAAAGAAATTGGTATATAATATTCTTTTTTGTTGTTATGTTTTATCCATAGTAACACTGGCTTCATAAATTTTCCTTCCTTTCTTATTTTGTGGAACAGTTTGAGAAGCACTGGTGTTAATTCTTTAAAGCTCTGCTAAAATTTGTTAGTGAATCCATCTGGTCCTCAGCTCTTCTTTGCTGGGAGAGTCTTTATTTCTGCTTCTATGTTATTACTTCTTACAGATCTGTTTGAGTGGTTTATATTCTCTTGGTTCAATTTTGGTAAGTCATATGCATCTATAAATTTATCCATTTCATTTAGATTTTCCAGTTGGTTAGAATAAAAGTTTTTTAAGTATTCCCTTATGATCCTCTGAATTTCATTTGTATTTGTTATGCTATCTCCCTTTTAATTTCTACTTTCATTAATTTGGGTCTTATTCCTCCTTCTTTTGGTTAGTTTGGCTAAGGGATTCTCAATCTTGCTTATTTTTTCAAAGAACCAACTTTTTGTTTCATTGATTCTTTATATTGTTTTTTAAGTCTCCAATTTATTAATTGCTGCCCTAATCTTTATTATTTCTTTCTTCTACTAATTTAGGGTTTGGTTTGTTTTTGTTTTCTAAGAGTTTGAAGGGGCATTATTAGGTTCTTTGTTTGAGATCCCTGCTTTTTTTTAATGTAGATGATCATAGCTATAAACTTTCCTCTTAGCACTGCTTTTGCTGTATTCCAAAACTTCTGTTTTCATTTTCATTTGATTCTAGGGTTTTTTTTCCTCTAATTTCTTAAATGACCTATTGGTCATTCATCAGCATATTGTTCAGTCTCCATGTATTTGAATATTTTCTGTAATTTCTTTTGCCATTGGCTTCTAGTTTTGTTCCATTGTGGTCTGATAGAATATTGAGGGTTATTTCAATTTTTTTGTATTTTTTAGACATGTTTTATGTCCAAAAATGTGATTGATTTTGGAGAAAGTTTCATGGACTGTTGAGAAGAATATCTATTATGTAGCTGTTAAATGAAGTATCTGTGAATGTCTCTTAAGTCCACTTGGTCTATAGTGTCATTTGATTCTGAAGTTTGTTGATTTTTTTTGTCTGGATGACCTGGTGAGAGTGGAACATTGAAGTCACCCACTATTATTGTGTTGGGGGATTTCTTTGTGCTTCTATGTCTGATAGTATTTATTTGATGAAATTGGGTGTGTAAACATCTGGTAAGTTTGCAATTGTGATTGCTTCTGCAGCTAATCTTCTAAGTGAAGTAGGGAGCCAGACCCAGTATCTCAAGCACTGTAGGCAAATGCTTGACTACTGAGCCACACCCCCTGTCTGCTATAGACCAGGCATGAACCCTGGACTGGGATATAATGAAGTTTGCACAGCCTCTCCATGGTAGAAGTTTGCACAGCCTCTTCTACCATATTTTTTCCAGTACCTGGTGTCTTGACCTTTGTTCTCACATCTCCTTGAAGAATAAAACCTGCTGTGTCCACATACCAGCCCCCTGATGCAAAACTAGATAAAGTACCAGAACTGTTAGGAGACTCCCTGATGCCAGATTAATCAATACCTTAGATAAGGTGTCCTGTGTGCCTTGATGTTTCCAGAACTGATGTGTTGTAATTAAGCTTCATTAGTCTTAGGAAAATTAGCCCACCAAACCTCATTCCTTTCACCTTGCATCAAGAATTATTGAAGCTTGATTTTTATCTGAGTCTTTTCCTTGTACTGACCTATAAAATAAACTCTGGCTCAGGTAGGTGCTCACGTTTCCCATCAGGAACATGCAGCCCTCCCGTCCACAGCTTTTTTTTTTTAATGTCTGTATGTCTGTGTGTGTCTTATTTCTCATTCCCCACCACTCTTAGTCAGGTTCATGCACCATACCCATGCAGGTTGCAGGCACCTGTTCAGTAATGACAAAATACACCACAATCCAGACACTCCCTAATAGTGTCTAAACACTGTGAATACTTCAGCTGAAAGTGCACAGATTTAAAATTCCAACCAAAATCTTGCCTCATATGCATAAATCCTAATGTAGAAACACAAGTAATATTAAAAAGCAAGGCAACATGTCTTTTCCCAAAGTCAACAATTCCACAATAAAGGACTTAATGATAGTGAAGTGGATGAAATCTCAAACAATGAACTCAAAAGAATGATGGTAAGAATTTTCAACAAAATTAAAAAGGACTTATATAAGCACTTGAATGAACTCAAAGAGAATACAAATAAACAGCTGAATGAACTCAAAGAGACTGCAAGTAAAAAGCTGAGTGAAATAAGGAAGATAATTCAGGATATGAATAATACCCACACAAAAAAAATCAAGACAAAGACAAAAATAGTCAGCATTTTCTTTGTCACTCAACCAAGTAGCTGTTTTTTGTTTGTTTGTTTGTTTGTTTTTTGCTTGTTTCAGGTCTAAACTCATTAGATCAGTTTGGGTTGTCTGATTTAGAGATTTAGCAGTGCTAGGAATTGAACCCAGGGCCTTGCTCATGCCAGGCAAACACTCTACCACT